AATAACATTGATTACAATCAAATTAAAAAATTTAAGAAAATGCAAAAGTTTGGAGAAGTGGGAGGAATTGACCTGCATCAATCAGTTCAACAAACTGCATACTTACACTACACTATTTGTTGCTTCTTCAAGTACACAGTGGTTCGCTTTGATAGAGGTGGCCTGACGCTAGGATATTCAATCGTCGTTATTCATATTCAAACGCTCGTAACTTCTTCCAAACAAACGCTTCGCAGATACGGAAGGCAGAATTGGAATTAGCGTCTGAAACTGCATCTACTAATATACATCCTTCTCGGATCGTCACTTCGGCTAAGTGCCTCTTGTTAGATACTTAGATGGCCTGTCTTCACTCGTCGTGCAGGCCAAAGCACTGTTTGCAGTCGTTTCTGTCTCTCGCCAGCGTCATGCACGATACTGGTATTTAACTGCGACAGCGACGTTCGCGAGGTCCAGATCCATCACTCATTAACAGCTGAGACTTCAGCTGGTCCATCTGTGCAACGAACACGTCAGCCCATCTGGTCGGTAGCCTCCCTCGAGGACGTTTTGCTTTGCGGAGGATCCATTGCAAAGTTCTTAGTCTCCATCTGTCGTCTGTTTTTCTCATCAAATGACCAGCCCATCGATGTTTTGCCTTAGAGACGTATTCCGCTGCATCGCCAAGACGAGATATTGATCACTTGTCTGAACTGCAAAGTCTGACGAGATGTTGAGTCGGTTATACTTCAGAAGACGTCGTTCCAGCGCTCTATAAGTTGTTCGAAGTGCCTTAGAGTAGCCACAGTGCCAGGCCACGCCTCTGCTGCGTAAAAGCGCAGGGAGAACGGTTATATCGAAGAATCAAACAAGTAGGCTCGGAGCTGGGTCCGTCAGTTGGTCTGTGGCTTCCTTTCTTTCAGATCGTTCTACATGTTTATTGAACGTCCGAGATATACGTAAGAAGATGTCTCCGCGATTGGAGAGCTTTCTAGTTTCATCTCCTGATCCTCGCAAAAAGCGTTCTTCAAGAAGTGAGTCTTTTTCCGGTTATTCGCAGTCC